CCCATCTTTACAAAAATTAGCTGGGCATGGCCCCATCTGTAGTGTGCGCCTGTAGTCCCAGCTACCCGAAAGGCTGAGGTGTGAGGATCACCTGAGCCTGGGAGGTCGAGGCTGCAGTGAGTGAGCCGTGGTTGCACCACTGCACTCCAGCCTGCGTGACCCTGTCTCAAAAAACAACAAACAAAAACTCCACCCCAACACACAGAAACGCCCAGACTCCTGGGTTCCACTCAGACTTCTCTTTGTTGCAGCCGAATGAAACTGCTGATCTTGTTCAACATGGTATTACATAACGCCCCCCCAGGCCCCTGCCAAAAAAAATACAAGAATGGGAGAATGACTGAATAAATGATATTCAGGAGACTGTACTCATTAAGCACAATGGAACACAGTTAACATTTACCAGGATAGCTCAAAAAAACATTCCTGCAATAGCTCCACATAAGGAACATATATACTGAGCAAAGAAAGCAGAGCACCCATCTGTGCCTGGGTGTGGGAAGTGGCTGCCCGTCCCAGCCCCTACTCTGCCTGAGCTTCCTGCCTGCCCCATCAACAGACTCCCTGGGGCTCTGCCCTCTGCTGGGCACAGTGGGGCACCCACTATTGTCCCTGGACTAAGCAGGCACCAGCAGGATGACTTGTAGACAACAGCCAAAGTTTATTTAACGTGGGAATGCTTACAATAAATAAAGCAGAGGGGTAAAGAGAAGCAGAACAGTACCTTGAGGACAAAGAAACCCCAAACCCAACACAAAAATCAACTCGTGTCTTCTGCTATATGCCCTGGGCTCTGGGCAGCCACTGCTCCTCCCCAGGGTAGGGAGACTGCAAGGCTGGTGGCCAGCAGTGCACATCCCCAAGCAGCAGCTGGGACCCTGGGTCCAGAGGGGCCATTGGAGACCTAGGAAGTCTTTGCAAGGGCAAAACCCAATGGCGACATGCCCATGAAAGCTTCAAGTCACAACGTGGGCCTGCAGAAGACATTTCTGGGCTGTGCTGTCTCCTCTAGGCCCACACACCTGCTGAACAGACATCTGTACCCGGGCACCTCCCAGAAGCCTCTTTATTCTGGGACATCTACTCTCGGTTCCTGTCCTCACTGGCCCCTCCCATCATCTGAAGACTCTTATGACGTCTGCCTCCTAATTCTTCCAGAGCGGCCACACCCTGGACTGTGACGGGCTCTCACCCACTGTGGGGTCACAGACAGGCATGGGGCTGGCTCCCATCCTGGCTGCCTCCCCCAGCATCTTCAGAGGTGGGGTGCACAGTAGTTTTGGGGGGCTGGCAAAGCTGCAGGAATTGTGCAGCTTAGGCGGACCCTGGATTCTGCAAGCCCCAGTGGAGCTTTCTTGGCTTCTGGAACCACAGGTCAGAGCTGCTGGGGCGATGGGGCTCCCAGCTTTGGTAAGGGCTGTTGGCATTAAGCAGCACCCGGTGGCTGGAGGGGTCTCCCAAGGAGGACAGAGCCTGCCCCATACCCTCCCGCAGTTTCCTGGAGTGCTAGAATTGGGCTTCTCCCACGCAGGCTCAGAAAGGCACTAGGAGTTCCTCCTCTTGCTCAAAGGACACACTCCCTCCTCCCAGGTCCTCCAAGTGGACAAAACACTCAGTGGCCTGGAGGGGCAGGAGAGGCAACAGGACTCCTCCAGGAAGGCCCGAGTCACTGGGGAGCCAGGGTGTCCCCGGACCCACCTTTCGGCCGGCAGATAGTCATCGGGGTTGGGCTGCTGGACAGGGGCGAGAAGAGGGGCCGCAGCGTCCCGGAGAAGGGGATCTCAGGGAAGATGAATAGCAGCGACCCATCGGTGGCGCTGTAGAACGAGAGATGTCTGGCCTCGTAGTCCAGAAAGATCCCCACACGCCTGGGTGGGTCCCGGAGTGGAGCCAAGGCCCGTTCAGAGGAATTGTAATAGCTCCCCAGGAAGACCAGGATCCAGAAGCCGTTGCCCGCGGACAGTTCGCCCTTCTCCTTCCTGTTCACATTCTCCCTGCATACCCCCAGGGCCCAGCTGGTGCGGTCCCCAACCTCCACCTCCCAGTAGTGGCGGCCTGAGGTGAAACGCTCCTGGCCCAGCACGCAGGGGCCGGGGTCAAAGCGCTCCGGGCTGTCCGGCAGGGCCTGCCGCAGGTCCCCCCGCTGCACGCTCCGCCTGTCTTCAGACAGGATCAGCTCAGGGTTGGCAGTATCCGGGTCCAAGGTCACATCCCCTGGAGAGAGAGGCCCAAGGTCACCCAGGCACAGACACAGACAAGCTGGGGCCACCTGCCCATGTCCTGGGCATGTGGGTATGATGATCCTCCCAGTTGGACGGCCTGTCTGCCCCGGGGTCCTGCAGTCTCACGACCTCCTGGAGTAACTGTCTCCAAGTGGACATCCCCTCCCTCCCCACCTAGCCACGTCCAATTGCAACTTACAATCCTAGAAATGGGTCCATGTTTTGCCTTCAGAAATCAAGAGGGAATCTTGGTTGCTTTCTTTTTTGTTTGTTTTCTAAAGAGGCAGGGTCTCCAGGCTGCAGTGCAGTGGTGCGATCATGGCTCACTGCAGCCTTGATCTCCTGGGCTCAAATGATCCTCCTGCCTCAGCCTCCCAAGCTGCTGGGATTACAGGCATGTGCCACCATGGCTGGCTAATGTTTTTGTTTTTTATTTGTAGAGATGGGACTCTTGCTATGTTTCCTGGGCTGGTGTTGAACTGCTGGCCTCAAGCAATCCTCCCACCTGAGCCTCTCAAATCGCTGGGATTACAAAGGTAAGCCAATGCATCCAGCCCGTTTTTTCTTTCAATCCCCAAATGAAGGATGTGAATAAGTGCAGCTGTCCCAACCCTGACCACTCCCAGATTTCAGATCTATCCTCCTCTGGAGGCCTGCACACAGTTCCTACACAACAGGCTCCTGACCTGCTAGCAAGGGCTGAGGACAGTACTTCCTTTGGGTGACTGTGATACAAGAATCAGATTTGGATTTTGTCCCCAGTTCCTGGCAGAGCTCATAGAACCCTGGGAATATCCTGAGTGATAGGAGCATCTAGTGTTATCGTAAGATGCCCCTTTCCAACACACCTTAGTTGATGCCACTGCAGTGGCTGAGGTAGGGACCTGAGAGAGCCCAGCATAGGGTCAGCCACCAGAAAGATCAATCCTGTCAGTAGAGGGTGGGAATGCTCAGCCCCAGCCCCTGACCTCAGGAAGGGGAAAGGGGTCTGAGGTTGAGCCCCATCACTAATGACCAATGATTTTATCAATGATAACTGGAACCTCCACAAAGACGCCTAAACAGTTCTTGGGACTCGGGGAGTTTCCAGGTTGGTGAACACACTGGGGTGCTGGGAGGGTGCACCCAGGGAGAGCGGGGAAGCTCTGTGCTCTTTCCCAGGCTTTGTCCATGTGTCTCTTCCATTTGGCTCTTCTAGAGTGGTATCCTTCACAACAAACCAGTGACAGTAAGTGAAATGCTCTCCTGAGTTCCGTGGGCTGTGCTAGCGAATGCTCACATCTGCAGAGGGGCTGAGGGAACAGAAGTATGGGCAGCCCCTGGAAGTTGTGACTGGCATCTGAAGTGAGTTCCATTCAATGCTGAATGGAATCCTTTGATACCCAATTCATTTCCAAACGGTGAAGAATTGTTTGGTGTGAAAATACCCACAAACGTGATGTCAGAAGTATGAGCAGAGGACATTTTCCCAACAACCCACCACCATGACACTGTGAGTTTGGAGCTGGCAGTGGAGGGGCAGAGAACACATGGCTAACTGCCCAGGTCCTTCGCGGGTACCCTCCTGGAGTCATCTCCCCACCTAGGGCCTCCACACCCACCTCGAAACCTCCGCAGTGTCTCCACCAGCCCCGGGACCCTGCACACGGTCCTCAGCTCCATGGGCACAACTTCTGGGGGCTGCAGCTTCACATCCTGGACCCTAGAGGGGACAACCCAGATGTCATCGCCATGGCCAATAGTTGGGTCCCACCTCACTCCCACCCCCTCCAGGAAAGGCTGGGCTCGTACCTGCGCAGGGCGTCCTTGATGTCCTATGTGGGGAGGAGAAACAGCACACTCCATGTCAGTGATCATCGCCTGCTCCCGGAGTCCCCACCCAGCCCCTGGAGCCTCACCCCATCCCCCTCTCCTACATTTGAGCCTCAGGCAGCAAAAACACACACAGGGGGCCATAAACCACCTGCAGCAAGGCTCACAGACAGGAATGCTGGATAGATGCTCCAGCATATGTGCCAGGAGGCATCACCAATGGGGTGCAGTCCAGTCCTGCGGACTGAGACCCACTTCTGCCTAACACTTGGATGTAGGGCATCTGGCTGTCAGCTCACTCCCCCAGAGCCCCAAGTGGGCACCCCTGGGTGCCAAGGACAGGACAGGCAAGCATCCCAGCCTTCAGTGTAGGGGCGCCTTCACCCCAGCCGGAGCCCAACCCCGCAGTCCCACTGCTCCCTCTCCCAGCTCCGCCTGCCCTGCGGGCTCCCTGCTCAGCCCTACACCTGGGTGTGCCTTCTTCCTGTGTCACTCCCTGATACATGACAGCATCTGACTCCGTGTTAGGGCCCGAATTGTGTCTATCCCACCAAACCCGTATGTTGAAGCCAGAAACTTCAAGACCTCAGAACTTGACTATTAGAAAAAAGGACTTTTAAAGAGGAAATCATAGTAAAATAAGGCCATGAGGGTGGGCTTTAATCCAACATAACTTGTGTCTCATAAGAAGAGGTGACTAGGGCATAGACACCCACAGAGGGGAGACCCTGTGAGGATACAGGGAAGAAAAGGCATCTATAAGCTCAAGAGAGAGGCCTCAGGGGGAACCAGCTTTGACCTCAGTCTTTCAGCGTGCAGGACTAGGAGACAATCAGTCTCTGCGGGGGAAGCCTCCTGGCAGGTGGTACTCAATGTGGCAGCCCGAGCTGGCGTGATACACCCAAGTGTTGGAACATCAGCTCCTAGGAGGCATGATCTTGTATCTCTTAGAGCAGCCTTCAGTTCACTGCAGGGATTTAACCCACACTGTCAAATAGATGACCCACACCATGTTCATCCTAACACACGTGGTGCCAGCTACCAGGCCAGGATGCAGAGGTCAGTAAGACATAATCCCAGACAAGGGTTTCCCTGCATATAGGAGAAACGGCAAAGGAAGATTTCCACATATACAGGTAGTTAATTCTGTCTAGGGGGACAACAACACACTCAAGGCCCCAAAAAATTTTTAGAAAGGAAGCCAGCACTTTGGGAGGCCAAGGCAGGTGGAACACTTGAGTCCAAAAGTTCAAGACCAGCCATAGCAAGATAGCAAGATCCCATCTCTAAAAAAAAATTTTAAAAATTAGCTGGGCTTGGTGGTATGTGTCTACTGTCCCATCTACTCAGGAGGCTGAGGTGGGAGGATTGCTTGAGTCCAGGACATCGAGACTGCAGTAAGTCATAATCACATCACTGTACCCCAGCCTGGGTGACAGAGTGAGACCCTGTCTCAATAAATAATTCATAAATAAATAAAGAGGAGACTATTGGTAGGGTTCTGGAGCCCAAGAGGAATTTGTTGGTAGACAGAGGGGAAGTGTGCAGGATGAGGGAGGGGTGTGCACAGGGTAAGGGCAGATGGTGCCGGTGTGAGCAAGGCAGCTAGGAGCAGCTCCACCTTGGTTATTCTACCTGGGGTGGGTGGCCCACCCCTGGTGTCATTTGGAGACAGGTGGTGGCTGTCACAAGGCCGGGTGCAGGGGCAGCAGGAGAAGGGCTTGGGGGTGGAGGAGAACCTTGGCCTCGACGAGGGGGTTTGGTCTCTGCACAGAACATGGGCCCTCCAGGCGCAGCATTGACTTGAACAAAATCACTCTACGGCTACAAGCAGGGCCTGCTGAAGGGGGCAGCCAGGACCCCAGAGTCCACAGCAGCCAGAGCCCCAGTGGGTAGATTCCTGGGAGTCACTCAAGCCCTTACCTCCACTGTGCAATCTCTGTCCATTGGGCCTGGGTACTGGGAACCCGGGTTGGGTCCCCCAACCCAACTGGGGGCCAAGGGTGCAAAGCCACCCCCACCTCTCCCTCTCAAATCAGCACACAGCTCACACCAACACACAGTTGCTGGGGCTGCTCTCCTGCAACCCCCATGTGGGCAGACTCCCACAGCATGCAGACCAGGCCAGCTCTGTGCTGGCAGGTTTGGGGGGCAGGAGGGACCTCCCTGAAGCCTTGCAGCCAGGCCAAACCTGGGCAGGGAGCTTGGTCAAGGCATGGACAGGTGGGCCACTCAGCAGGGTGAATGCAGGTGGGCGTATGAGACCCAACACCCACCCACCCACATGTCACAACGTCTCGGCCAAAAGCCCAAATCGCATCTTCACACAGACCCTATGGGTCCCCATTTCCAGGTCAACTCACCTTCCTTCTAAACCCTTCCTGGCTTCTCCAACACCTGTCCTCTCTGCCCTCCCTGAGGGCTCCTCCTCAGTCTCCTGGGTAACTCCCCACCCCACAATTTTCTGACCACAGGACCCTCTCCTTATTCCTCAGTCTTCCTACAGACGCTAGCTGAGTGTCCTTCCCGCTTCCCAGGCTCAAAGCCAGTTGATGTACAAGCTGGTGCACGCAGCACACAGAGTGGAGGGGCGGATGCTACAGACTCAGAGGTGGGACGTGGGAGGTGGGGGAAACTACCTACTGGGTACAATGTGCACCATACGGGGATGGCTACACTCTGACTACACTTGTACCCCTTAAATCTACAAAAATAATTTAAATATATATATATACAGAAAAAAGCTTACGATAGAAATGACAAACGAAACCAGGAGTTGGTGCCTGGACTGATGTTCTGCTGGGCTCCAGAGGCCGGCAGCAGGTCATCCCCTGTGCAAAGCTGCCCAGCCACATCAGCAGCATTGTAGGCTCCACCTGAGTCTGACAGCCCTGCCCCACCAGTGGCCGAATTCACTCACACAAGACTTCTCTCCTCTGTGGGAGCCAGAACTGCCTAGGGGCCTGTTTCCCTCTGAATCTTGGGGCCCCTTGGGTCTACACCATGCTGGGCATGGAACACGTTTTCCATTTTGTGGGACAAACGTCCAGCTGAACCCCACGGGAAGATGACAGCAGACACTCCCAGCCCACATGGGGCCTCTCAGCATGGGAGTGCCGTCAGTCCTCATCAGTGCACGCTTGCCGAAGGGGGAGAGCTAACTCCAGGCCGCCTGACCCGCCGCCAGGCCAGAGGCCAGAGCATCCACTGGTTCTGATTTGGGGGCACACCAAGGAAAGTCCAGGCCCAGGGGGCCGGCTGAGGTAGTGGAGCCCACACATGGGGAAAGACTCTCCCAGAAGCAGAGGAGGAGGAAACACCACCCCTGATAATGGATATGCATGGGGTGTGCCAGCGGGGCGAAGACAGAGTGAAGGGAGAGGACTTCCTGCTGGGGACACCATGGCGGGAGTTCTATGGGAGGCCCAAGGTGGTCCCGGCAAGCACACGCCCACTGTGCTGTGCCTACAGGGAGCAGCAGCATCAGTCAGGCCGAGATGGAGTAACCTTACATAAGCACTTAAGAAACACCACCTGTTTACATCTACAGAGGACAATCAATCTTCCCTTTTTCAGCACATGGATTTTGGGGGTAGGACGAGTGGGACATCTGTCCTGCTGCTGACTCAGCATTTCACAGGCAAGAGCCGGGCACATCCAGCCATGCCATTAACCTCTTAGCCCAGACAACCTCTGCCCCTGCTTCTTGCACTTTCTGGTTCTCCCTCCCCCAGTGTGGTCAGGCCATGCCCGTGTGGCCACCATGGCTGCTCCCCGCCCAGCTCACCTGCAGCAGCCCCAGCACAGGTTGCTCCCCATCCAGCTCACCTGAAGCAGCCCCAGCGCAGGCAGCTGGCAGCGGCCCTCGAGCTCGGCGATGAGCTCAGCTAGGTGGGCGGTCTGCTGGCCTAGGCGGGCTGCACCCTCCCGCAGCCGGGGCAGCACCTCCAGCTCCTCCTCCTCCAGCCTCTGCAGCAGCTGCTGCTCCTCCTCTGCCAGCAAACGGCGAAGACGTTCGAACTCACCCAGCACGTTCTGCCGCTGGCTCTCCACCATCTTCTGTGGGGCCCAGGGAGAAGGATAGCTGAAGCCAGACTCCAGGCCCAGCCGGACCCCAAGTCTGGTCAGACCCCAAGCCCACCCCAAGGCCGGGCCACACCCAACCTCCCCCCCAGGGCCTGCTAAACCCCAAGCAGAGCCCCAGGTGTGGCAGGATCCCAAACCTACCACCTGGTGCCGGCCAGACCCCAAACCCACCTGTGGCACCTCCTAAACCCCAAATCCACCACTCAGGGATAGCCAAATCCCATTCTACCACGCAGGATTAGCTAGACCCCAAATCTAAACCCCAGGGCCGGCTAGATCCCAAATCCACTACCTAGTCCCTCCCCAACTTCCAAATCCACCCATTGGCTTGGTAGAACCCTGCATCTACCAGCTGGGGCCAGCTGGACCCCAAATCTACCACCCAGGTCCCTCCTGACCTCCAAATTCTCCCCTGGGACTGCCCAGATCCCAAATCTACCACCTAGGGCCTCCTAGGTGATTTGGGTAGACCCCAAATCTACCCCAGAACTGGACAGATCCCAAATCTACTCCTCGGGATGGCTGAATCCCACATCTATGACCTAGTCCCTCAAAACCTGCAAATTCATCTCCAGGGCCCAGACCCTAAATCCACCTGAGAGTTGCCACCCAAGCATGCTGGGACCCTAGGATGGGGCCCTTGCGGTATGGGAGCCCACGCCCGCGTCCTGGCAGGTCAGGTGCACATGGGGAAGGACCAGCCCTTCAGTGGGCTCAGTGGGGCCAGGCTGAAGCAGTGACTGGTCCTGGGGCACCAAGGGCAAGTGTGCCTGGCCAGCATTGCCCCCTGGGGTCTCCTATACAGGACCTTCACCCCCTGCCCTGCCACCCAGAATCGTGGAAGCCCCAGCACCTGCCTGCCACAAGACGCAGGTCTCATCCGCCTGGGCTTGGAAGAGCAACGCATCCTGCATCTGCTTCCGGAGATGCTCCAGTGACTTCTCCAGCTTTGCCTGTGGGAGAGGCCAGGCAGGGCCATGAGACATCGGTCCTGTCACAGAAGCTTGCCCTTTTGCACCTGACACACTGTCCTGAGTTCCTCCTCAGAGACAATGGGGACAAACTGAAATCTGCCTGGTGAATGAGGGAACTCAATGCCCTCCAATGAGCGTGAGCCCTCATGGTAGGTGGGCAGCCTCTTGCCAGAGGCTGACAGCCCCAGCCACATTCTTTCCTTTTTCTCATATGAGATGTGTTTCTAGACCTTGACCTTGCTACCCTACCCCAGGCCTCACCCCTCTTTGCAAAGCTACCTCAAGGGTTCTGGCTGCCCACTCCATCTGTCCCCAAGCTGGCTCTGAAGGTGTCGAGCTCTCCTGTTCCCAAGCCAGTGTCTCCTCCTCCTCTCCCTTCTCACCTACCAGCTCACATAAGGGCCTTGGGCTAAGCCTATGCTGGGGTCCAAAAATTCTGCCCCATGTCCCCATAATTTCATAGGTTGAAATCCCAACTCCCAGGGTGATGATATTAGGAGACAGGGGTTTTGGGAGGTGACTAGGTCAGGAGGGCAATGCCACCATGATGGGATTAGTGTTATAAAGGAACTCTCGCCCCTTTCACCATGTGAAGACATAGTGAGAGGGCATTATCTGTGAACCAGGAAGCGCTCTCACCAGACACCAAACCTGCCAGGGCTTGCTCTTAGACTTCTAGCCTCCAGAGCTATGAGTAGTATACATCTGCCATGTGCAAGCCATGGTGTTTTGGTAGGACAGTCAGCAGGGACAGAGATGCCTGGCTGCCCACCCCATCTTTTCTCTAAGCCACCTGGGATCTTGTGCATTTTCAGCTTCATCAGCTATCACTGTAATAAGCCCCAGGACGGGTACACTTGCATTCTGCTTTCTTGGTCCTTAATTCTCATTCCCACGGTTCCTCATGAGGTGCATACCAGGAAGCAGTGAGAATCCTATACACAAGCTCGCTGTACTGTGTGTGCTTGGGGTGCCCTGAACCCACTTCGCGAAGGGTCTGCTCACTTCCACCCCATCTGACACCCTTATCAGCAACAGGCCCTGTGCTGGCCACACCTCTTTGCTTCTCAGTCACCCCAAGTCATGGCTCTCATCTCTCTCTATCCATGCTCTGGAAGGATGGAGGTGCTGGGAGGATCCACAAGTCTGCCCAGGTAGCAGAGCCAGGACATGGGCCCAGCTGCCTGGCTCCAGGTGCTCACTTTGGTTCACCACCTAGCCTCGCGATTCGAGAATACTGCTTGGCACCTCCGGAGCACTAAGGACATGTCCAACTGCTTTATTGTCTCTGCCTAGGCTTAGCTCTCATGTGAGCTACAAGAACCCCAAATGGGGGTCCCTGTCCCCCCGCCTCTCTCTTCACTGCTACCGGCCTGTTCCAGAAAACTCACGCCTGGCCCCTGTGACCCCCAACCCTACCTCAAACACTTGGCCCAGTGCCTCTCAACTTCTCCCTCAATGCCTCAGTCCCTACGTGACATTTTCAGTTTTTGTTTTTGTTTTTGAGATGGAGTCTTGCTCTGTCCCCCAAGCTGGAGTGCAGTGGCACTATCTCGGCTCACTGCAACCTCTGCCTCCTGCGTTCAAGTGATTCTTCTGCCTCAGCCTCCTGAGTAGCTGGGATTACAGGTGCCCGCCACCACACCCAGCTAATTTTTGTATTTTTTTTAGAGATGGGATTTTGCCATGTTGGCCAGCGTGGTCTCAAACTCCTGACCTCAAGTGATCCACCCACCTCGGCCTCCCAAATTGCTGGGATTATAGGCGTGAGCCACCACACCTAGCCAACATTTTCAGTTTTCAACACTAAAGTTACAAACAGCATTTGATCAGATGGAATGGGCTGTAAAGCAGCACAAGGTACTCAGCATGGCAAAGATCTTGCATTTCAGGTACCTGCATCTTTGCGTCTCTGGACAGATTAGAACGGAAACCTCTTACCCTGTGTGTAGTCAGAACTGGGACGCTGGGGCTTGGTGCAGGCCTGGGATCTTCCCTGGCCTCCTCCTTCCTGTGGCAAACCCCCTCTCCACCCAAGTGCCATCTGATACACAACCCAGAGAGATCTGGGGGCCGTCTTCTCTTTCCTATGATGCTGCTTCCTGGAACTGGATCTTACGGGGACTTTCCTGTTTACCACCTCGGGGCAACCCAGCCTGGGGCTTGTTCACCTGTCATGACCCCATGTCAGGGCCAGGCAAGGAGTGAACTTATCATAGAGCTAACAGGCCCCAACTCTGGCAAGTGGACACACAGTCCCATAGGTGGGACTGAGCTTTCTAGGCCTATGGGGGCAGGTAAAACCAGTTTCCTGCGGTTAACATAGCATAGGCCCTAAGGCAGTGAAGAGGAACAGGATATGTCATCCCCAAATGTACCGCTGTGGTATAAGGATTATTCTGAGTAAAAGCAGATGCAGGAAGAGCTCTCTGTACTCCTATCTGCCTAGAAGTAGGGTATTCATTCCCCATGAGAAAGGCACCCTCCCTCCACTAGGAAGAGGAGGGCACTCTAATCCCGGGAGATGATTCTGCCTAAACAGACCTTACTACAATGACCATTATCTTGTGTTAGTTCTTCCCATCTATTTCCTAGTCACTTTCCCACAATTTATCAGTCCTAGACGCCGAATCCCGTTTCTGTGTCCAGTCACTTCTCCACAATTTACAAACCTTTGCTGAAATACACTTTTCTATGAAGTTCTTGTGCATGTAAAACTTAAAATATTAATCAAACTGTATGATTTTTTTTTCCTGTTAATTTGTCTTGTGCCAGTTTAATTTGCAGCCCCCAGCCACTGAACCTAACAGGGTAGAGGGAAATTTTTTCTTCACCTGCAAAAGAAACGATTAAGTGCTATCCCATGAAACTATATCAGATCAACTCTACAGAGCTACTGGGCACTCTCTGCACCCATTGGGATAATTGGTGTCAGAAGGGTAATTCTGCTGGGCTAACATGTTTGAGGTGTAGACATTCCTGCATGGGCAAAGAACGAAAAGAAAACCCACAAGAACCTGTGTTTGGACAAGCCCGCGGATATGGCTTTAAACCACCTTTCTGCTAAAATCCAAAGCAGAAGGGGACAGATTCAGATTTATTCTAGTATCCCAGAAGTTTTCTCTGTGATAGGGACAGACCCAGCTCAGTACTAACACTGGCTTAACTGCTAATCTGGCACACACAAGTGACCATGGTGCAACACACAAAGTGCAATCAAGAAAGCTCCAAAGATGCTGCCATCTACCCCACACGTGGGCTCCCAGGAGCACACCCGCAGCAGGTCAGCCAGGAAAGTACCGCGGGAGGGAGTGCAGGCCAGGAGAACGTGTGCCCCAGGCCCTTCAGCTTGGGGTTTGTTTGGGTTTTAAGCAGCAAAATAAGGGAAGAAGAGGCGGGCTGAGCCCTGGCATCTCAGATGGCAGAGATGGCTCCCAGTACCCCACCCCGAAATGCAGGGCAGCCCTGGAGGAGAGGTTAGAGAGGAAACGACTGTGTCCCCTCACCCTGCTCAGTCTGGGGCTTTCCCAGGACTTAAGTACTGACCTGATAACACAGTCCCTGCAAGGAGTCCATCTAGGATCGTCCACCTCTGAGGTTCTCCCACTTTCCTCTGATTCCGGCTCCTTTCTGGCCAGTGTATGGCCACATTTTCCTTGCCCCCACTCCACCACCTTCCACCTTCCTCTCTTAGCCTCCATCTATGGGAGGTACGCCCCTCAACCCCGAGAGCAGGGTCTCATTGGCGGCCATGGCTCCAGCCTCACGGGGCCTGCTTGAGACAGGCTGTCATGGGCCCCCACAGCTGCCTTGCGCGATACCCTCCTCACCGGCCCAGGGCAGGCTGCATCCTGAGCTCCCCGCCCTAGACAGAGACAGATTACGCCCGGAGCAGTCCCGAAACCTCCCACCCGCCCAGGCCTCCCCAGTCCCCGGCTTCCCCCGATGCTCCTGCGCGCCACCCCCGCCCAGGCGCACCTTGAG